CTTCATTTCTGGACAATTATGGTTTGATTTCTTTGTATGTACGGATCACTTGGGTTGTTACCAACATCTGGTGAAAATTTCATGTCATTAGCACCTCTAGTAATATATTTACTGAGAAAAGTGGTGACGTGTTCAATACTTATTTTACCCGCTGTATGTCTTATGCCGATATTTTAATACAGTGCAACCACGCAACATCAATGTCAATTTCACGAACTGTGGCGACACATCCTGTTTTGGCAACAGGATTTTTCAAAATAAAAGTTTGATTTAATTCAGTTCATATACAAATAAAATTTTGCATGGGAACGCAATACATTATTGCGAGGTAACGCAAAAGTATTGCGAGGGAACTCAAAGGTATTGCGTGGGAACGCAAAAGAAAAAAAATCTCCCATGTCGTCTCGCGGGCTCCGTAGCACATACATTGACATGTAGCTATTTTTTTCACCCCAAGGAAGAAATAAGATGCATAGGATGTAAGATATCTTTTGTCTCTTACTCAGCACAAAATGCAGACAACAACTGCGAGACAGACATCTCTGACTGGAATAACTTTCTAACAAGCTTACTCAGTTTCAGTAGATTTGAATCATTATCAACAGCTGTGCATCAAAATATGAGTTTTGTTTTAATACGGTTCTAAGAAATTTGAAGATTGAGAATAGAAATACCAGGAGAACAGAGGAAGTAAAATGAAAAAAAAAATTGTACGGAGCCCGTCCGATGACATGGAATAACTTTTTTTTCACGTGGCCACAAGATAATAACGCGTGCCCACGCAATGACTAACGCGTGCACAAGTGATAATTAAAGCATAGGCACAAGATCATTAATGCGTGTGCACATGATAGGCTAATTAAAGCATGGCCATGAGATATTTAGCTAACACGTGGCCACATGATAATCAAGCATGTGCACGTGATAATTAACGCATGGTCACATGATAATTAACGTGTGCGCAGTGATAATTAACGCGTGGCCACGAGCTAATTTTGAGCAATCTGTGGTTCATTGAAAAAGTATAACCTAACATAGAGCCTACAAGCTAATTTTGAGATGACATTCAYCGCCCAAGGTGAGTGTCGGGAAACAGATTTTTTCTGCGTTACACAATGCAGTTCAGTCATGTCATAACTACAATATGAACGAACGTAGTATATCTTTTAGTAAATACTCCTATTCTGGTACGAGTCCCTCAAAACAATGGCTAATTGGGTGTATCACTTGAACACAGACAGTATATGTATGTGGTCAGCAACCAATTTGTAATGTGGTACGTTAATCTTAAAAATGTTTACATGGCGAAGATAAAGCTAATGCTAGCATGATTAGCACGATAATGCTAACTATAGTGTCAGTGGAATATATTACTAGTATTTTGTCACTGTAGGTAAATTGCTAGATAGTTGTGGTGTACGGAGCCCGCGAGGAGACATGGGGGATTTTTTTTCCTTTTGTGTTCCCACGCAATACCTTTGCGTTCCCTCGCAATACCTTTACGTTCCCTCGCAATACCTTTGCGTTCCCTCGCAATACCTTTGCGTTCCCACGCAATACTTTTGCGTTCCCTCGTTTGCGTTCCCTCGCAATACCTTTACGTTCCCTCGCAATACCTTTTCGTTCCCTCGCAATACCTTTACGTTCCCTCGCAATACCTTTATGTTCCCTCGCAATACCTTTACGTTCCCTCGCAATACCTTTACGTTCCCTCGCAATACCTTTATGTTCCCTCGCAATACCTTTACGTTCCCTCGCAATACCTTTACGTTCCCTCGCAATACCTTTGCGTTCCCTCGCAATACCTTTGCGTTCCCACGCAATACTTTTACGGTCCTCGCAATACCTTTGCGTTCCCTCGCAATACCTTTGTGTTCCCTCGCAATACCTTTGCGTTCCCACGCAATACTTTTACGGTCCTCGCAATACCTTTGCATTCCCTCGCAATACCTTTGCGTTCCCTCGCAATACCTTTG